TTCCAGAATTATGTTGAATAAGAGTAGAGAGAATGGATATCCTTGCCTTGTTACTGATATTAGAGGAAAAAAACACACAATTTTTCACCATTACATAGAATGTTGGCAAAGGTTTTTTGTAGATGTTCTTTGCCAATTGATCTCTAAATTGATGGTGTAGCAACTTGACTTATTGATAAAGAAGGTTCCTGATGGCTTTATGAAATGGTCAGGTGGCCTGTATACTTAATGATTCAAAAGGCACACTGTCCTGTCTCAAAGTGTTTCTCCCAATCCTAATGAAATTCACTAGCTAGACACTCTTTGCATCTTTTTAAATGGAAGACCTCTTAGAAAGGTTAACATTTTATACTGCTGTCACTCTTACCTTTGTGAAATAGTTTATGTTTCTTTCTTCCTTATCCAAGGACAAAAAGCATGGGATGGGTGGGGGAAGAAAGAAGGAACAGTTTTGGAGCAGAGAATGCCTCATTTGGGCAGCAGGAGGTTACTGGAGTGCCTTTCCTAGTTGAAGCAAAGACAGGAACTTTGAAAAGGATCCGAAGCCTAATTTAACCTTTTAAAAATTTTGCATCATTTTTATATTAAATAACTATAATTTTAAAAGTACAAACACTGAACTTGTGAAGTTTATTTTATAATTTATTTTTAAATAGCTGTACGTTTAATATACTGCATTTGTTGATGCCTCCTCCAAAGTGCATCTTGTAGAAAGCAAAAACATCCTAATGTTAGCTCTTTTGTCAAGAATGACAGCATGTCGTTATTTTACTTACAAAATGAGGACGTGATATAACACCAGGTTATAAGAATGAAGCACAAATTATATTTCACAAAAAACAGGTAACTTTTACTTCATTTGGGAACATAATTATAGTATTTAATAATTTCTCAAGTTTCACAAAAATGTCTTAAGTAATTAGCCCATACAAACACAAAGAATTTGAAAGGGTTATTATATTTCTTTCTGTTGTAGTTTTACTTATGGAAAATTATTTACAAGTTAACAACATTGAAAACTTTTGTTCAATATACTTATTTAACATAGATCAATCAGTGATTCAGATTGTACCAGGCCAAGTCTGGAGACTCTTTTTATGGACTTATTATTTTATAATTTGATTGTCTTGTTTCCTAGCTCATAATGTCATGTTGGGGCTCTCTTTGTTGAACGTCTAGAAGATTCTATAAAATGTATTACTTCATATATTTCAGCTACATCCACCCCCCACTTAATGGCTGTGGTAAAATAACATTCTAATAGCTTTTGTAACTGTGAAATGTATACTCTTTTTGTTTTGTACATCAGGCTGCAAATAAGCTCCACCCAGCAAGAGTTTTCTTTAGGATGAGGATAAGGCATTTTGCCAGAATCTGGGCCAGAACCATGATTAATAGACATAAGGTTAAGAATGAAAGTGCCTTTAAGTAAGCAATATAATTTTCAAATTGATGAGAAGGAACCAAAACTCACAGTGAGGAAAGGAATTATAAGAAAATACCCATCTGTTCTGAATTAGTTCAGGTCTCTTGACCTAGATAAATTATATTCCCAGGAACTGATAGTACCTTTGAATGGGCCTGTGGTTGGTGATCTTTGAGAACATGTAGAGAGTAAGAGGATAATGTACAAATGCCATCCCATGTGTAAAATAACCATAAATTACAACTAGTGAACTCAATTTCAATCCCAGACAATATACTAGAATATATTTATTAAAAGGTGATTTGTAGGGGGTGCCTGGGTGGCTCAATTGGTTAAGCGTCTGTGTTCGGCTCAGGTAATGGTCTCTGGGCCCTGGGATCCAGGCTGGCATCGGGTCTCTGCTCAGTGGGGAGTCTGCTTCTCCCTCTCACTCTGCCCCTCCCCCAACTCATGTGCAGGAGCACACACGCTCTCTCTTTCAAATAAATAAATCTTAAAAAAATAAAAGGTGGTTTGTGAGTATATACTAGAAAGCAATAGCCCTTGAGCCAATTATACGTTCATTAAGGGAACTGGCATGTAGGTCCTGCCATTCCATTTTGTGTACCGTTACTAGATCCAGGAATTATAGTAGCCATAGAATATATGGAGTTTATGAAGACATTTGACAAAGTTTGTCATAATATTCCTGAAGACAATATGAATCAGTATAAAGATAATTGGGTAGTTTAATAACCAGTTGAAAGTTGTAGCTTCAACTCTTCAAATGTGCTGAATAATAGATCAGTATCAACCAAGTATTTATGACATGCTGTGGAGTTCTTTCCTCAATTTTGTCATATTCAACATTTTTAATCAATGAATTGGATGGATAAAGCAACTTACAATGATCAGTTTTGAAAAAGACACAAAGCTTAAAATTTCCTGGATACCAAAGTCAGTAACTAAAGGCTGAGACTAAGACATACCTATCTTCAAAATATATGTGTGTCTAAGATATTTATGTATAAATATATGTTATTTATTTACTTATATTTATAATTACATTTATTTTCCAGCACTTCAATCTGAAAAGGCAAATACTCACACGATAGAATGAAGGTTATTGGTTGCAAGAAATAGGTAGTATAAGAGGGAAAGAGAATAATGCAGGAAGATTGGGCGTGGACCCCAAAGGGCAAGAAGGGCAGCTAGGTCTCAAGAGAACTGAAGTGAGGAATTTGAAGGTCTTTGGTTCCTTTTTTCCTCTCCTACTCTGGATTCAGATTATCTTTGTCTTATCTTGTCTCTGTGTGTCTGCTCATTTTTCTCCCTCATTCCAGTAATGTGGCTAACTCTGTACCTTATATGATCCTTCTCTGTTAAGACTGCTTAAAGGTGTCCCAAATACCTGGGTCTTCAGCACTTATAAGTCTGGTTGGCTCATCCCAGCTTAGGGCTTGGTTCTTCTGGGTCTAATGTCTAATCCTCATCCCCCAGTCAGCCATGGCTAGGGTGGATGGGTGGAGGGAGTTTTAGTTATTTTACTAAACAGAGCAGCCAGGACTGTAGAAGGTGGATTCTCTTAAAAAAGCGGACACACATGGGAAGGAATAGATTGGTATATTTAATATAATGAAAGATGGTTTTGTACTGAAGTATATTTTTAAAAAATAGGGGCTTTTTTTTTTTTTACCATAAAAGCCTGTTGTATATAATAACATATAATTGCTGAAAATATAAAAGACAGTCGTGATCTAAGGTTGCATTAGAAGGTACTACCAATGATATTACTTATGAGATATTAGAATGAGGGAGGCTTGAGCCCTCTCTTATTCTGTTCAGTGAGACCAACCACACTGGAGTATTAAATTCTGGGCACCATACTTTGAGACATATATAGAACACTGGAACAAGTTCAGAGGAAATTATTTAGAATAAGGAAGAAATTCAAAACCATGTTATATGGGAAACAGCTAAGGGATCTGGAAGTGTTGACCTGGAGAAGAAAGATATGGAGTGTTCCTGAAAGCTGTTTTTAAATATTAGAAAGAGCTCTAGGGTTGTTCCACATGGTTCCTAGGAGGTCTAGGACCAGTGGATATTCCAGGGAGGCAGATCTGGGGTCAACATGAGAAAGAATTTCCTGGGAGACAGAGCCATCAGAAGATAAACAGGCTGCTTTACAAAGTAGTTTCCCATCATTTGGGATGTTGAAATAGTCAGGATAATGACTTACTAGAGTGGAGTAGACTTTATGAACCCATCCAGAGCTTGAACCAAGTTATCTTTATGATTTCCTCCAAACTTGTTGTTTTACAAATCTGTAATTTTGGTATTGCTGGCAGTTAGATGATTGATGTTGTCATTTGTCCGTATCCCATAGTATTATGTTTTTTAATTTGAAATTTTTATTATTGAACTTTAGATGAACAAAATGTTACTATGTAAAAATTTGTTACTAGTTTGTTTCATCTGACTCTTGTGTAATGGCATTGATAGGCAGATGAGGTGGTGTCACTCTTAGTTAAGGGAGCAGTTTCTACAATCTTGAGGGAGGTTGCATTAAAAGTAACACTTAAAAGTGTTGCTTTCATTTTAGTACCCTGGAGCAAATATTTAATGAAGCTGTCTCTCATCCTTTGTGAATAGCAGGACAAGTAGAGTAGAGTCTACTTGAAGAACATTTATATACTTGAGACAGAAAAAAGAATTACCTCTCTCTTGACTTTGCTAAAATTCCATTTTTCACTGCCCTTATGTTGACCAGAGATATACGAACATTTTATGTGAAGGAAGGAAGATGATTTAGCTGACCTTCACATGGCAGATAAATATGACACAAATGGTTACAGGCGTAGGTGCTGGGTTTAGATAGACTTGGGTTTAATCCCAATGTCTCCATGTATCAGCTGGTTATTCAACTTAAGTGGTTGCCATTTCCCTGTCTATAAAATCTACCATAGGTATCTACCATACCTATGTGAAAGGAGAAGCACTGGGAGAGAAGATGTTAGGTTCAAAATGTTTTTGCGATTTGTGGTTTTATGACAGAATTCTAGCATAAATTCTGTTAAATTCTGTAAAAAGCATACAATGTTAAAACTGAACAGGAACTTAAGGGTTCATTTGGTCCAATGCCAGAATTTTATAAATGAAGAAAAATAAGATCTGAAAAAGCCTAGAAGCATCTCCAGGTTCACAGTGCAGCTGGCAGTAAAAGGCCCGTGGTTTCTCTCCACTTCGTGGAAGACTCCTCTTAAAACAAGAATTTTAAAGATATTTTCATCATTTTTAGTTTTATCTCATGGAAACTATTTCAAGAGTAAATTTTTCTTAGAGATACTATGGAGAAATAATCACTCTGAAAGACCCTTTTCTAATTCCAAGATTTTGTGTCAGTGTCAGTATCATGCCAGTTTTAAAAATTTTATCCAGATGTAAGCAGTGTCATAATTATCACTCCGTGGCATACTTGATTTGACCAGCATGGTTGCAGTAACATCTTCAGTAGAGAACTTTGCTTTTCAGAATTTAAAAAATATCATTTTAATTTATGTATGTCTGTCTGTATGTATGTATGTCTGTTTTCTAGATGTCTCCTGAAGAAAAAGTTTGTAAGTACTGTGGAGTCAGCTATCTTATTCTTCATGAGTTTAAGGCTATGGAAGAAAAAGTGAAAGTGATGGAAAAAGAGATGAAATTTTATCAAGGAAGCGTAGACCGTGAAAAGAGACTTCAAGAAAAGCTACAGTCTCTTAGTCAAGATTTTGAACAGTACAGAATTGACAGTGAATCCAAAACAGAAAGGTTGGAGTCTGTTATTCTCTCCTGTCATTTATTTAGTTTGAAAGAAAAGTACAGGAAATAAATAGACTTTGAATGTTTTTCTAGAATTTCTCTAAATCAGTTACACTTTAATATATTTGAGTTCATTTTATCATTAATAATTATTAAACATATTATTATAGTTTGAACATTTCTTGAGACATGTATTTACTATTTGAATAATTAGAAATCAGTTAATTCAGTAATTATATGTTGAGATGGGTCAAGTTTTATTTTTCCCCAGATATATATCCTAATTTTATCATTAGGAAGATTTGTCTATCAAAAACCAGGTGAATTTTGGTAGTTTTTGATACTTAACATTTGTTTTTAAATGGCCTCAAATATTTAGATTTATAGAATAAGGTTTTCATGTTTTGAAAAGGATGCCAAAATGTTAAAATCGGTATATGATTCTAAATCACTGAAATTGGAATAAAATTGAAGAATGAGTTCTTAATGCTGTTGAATCTAATCAGCAATTTAGTCTGCCTAAAAACACTTCAGTGGATTTATACAGACACTTCTATAGAAGGGTTTTTGCTGGTATTTTATGGCTTTTCCTTTTTCTTATTAATGATTATTTCTCCATTTAAAGTATCAACAGTTGATGTTAGTAAATCTTTAATTTAATGAATGTAATGAATATGTCTTTGTAAAAGTAGAAACTTTGTTAAATCTCTTAGGATTAAGAACTTCAATTACATTTTATTATACATTTTTATACATTAAACCTCCATTGAGCCCGATATTTCTTAGACCTTTACTAAGAAAATTTTGTTACAGTTTCTTCAATTTCAAATCTGAGTACTAAAGTATTTTGTAATATTTGAGTGGAAAAATAAAAAGTTTGAAGTATTTAGTTTAAAATTTTAGAGTTGGAGGGTTTTTGCCTGTCAGAGCAGAAATTCTTTTGCTTGCTATATTTACATTTTACTTTCTTTAATAATATATTGAATTATATAAGTCATATGTAAACACACAAAGTAAAAGAAGTAGATAGAAGAAAAGGCAAGGAATTCCCTGTTTATTCTGATTTCTTCTTACTGGAGATAAAACCGCTTTTAATGGTTTGGTGTATATCTTTCTAGATGCCTTTACCTTTATTATAGATATATTTCTTTAAGATATCCAATGTATTATATAAGATGTATAATTTAAAAATCTTCATCTTTTGATAGACTGGTTTTAAATATAAGCAATATATTCAATATGTCATTCTGTGACTTTTGCCACTTAATTTATATATATTGAAAGTTGTTCCATGTTAATACATATAGATCTATCTTGTTTTTAACTGTTACAACATTTTCTTTACCAAGAATATACCATAATTTACTTAACCATTTTTCTTTTCGACATTTAGATTATTTCCAATACTTACTACAGATAGTACCTATATTTATATTCTCATGTATGTATGTTTTCTGTGGGATAAATTCCTAGAAGTGAAATTGCTGAAAGAAAGGAAAAGTCAATTTAAAATTCTAATAAATGTTGTACCAAATTGTCCTTTGAGAAGATAGTGTTAATTTATATTTGGCCAATAGTTTATAAAGTGGCCATTTTCCTACTTGTCGTTAATATTAGAGTTTTTCAGATTTTACTTTTCTTAAGAGGGGGAGGGGCAGACGTAGAGGAAGAGAGAGAATCCCACGCAGGCTCCATGCCCAGTGTGGAGCCTGACACAGGGCTTGATCTCATGACCCTGAGATCACAACCTGAGCCAAACTCAAGACTTGGATGCTTAACCGACTGAGTCACCCAGGCGCCTCAACAAATTTTTGCTTTTTTCTTGAGTGAAAAAAGTTACTTCATGGGTGTTTAATTTGTGTTTCTTTATTGCTAATGAGGTTGAACATTTTTTCATATGTTTATTAGACATTTATATTTCTTCCTCTGTTAATTACTTGTTCATATCTGTTGTCCAAATTTCTATTGGGTTGTTTAGTTTTCTTTACTTATAGGAGATTTTAATATAACATGGACATTATACTTTGTTTATATATGTTGCTAATATTTTCTCATGGTTGCGTATCTTTTTGTTTATTGTGTTTTTTCTGCATTGATTTTTTTTAATATTCTATGCTAAATTCTGGTCAGAGTTCTGTGTCAAGTTCTTTTGGTTATGAACAACAGAAACTCACCTGATTAACACTAACCTAGATTCAGGCAAGTTGAAAAACCAACATATATTTAAAACTTTTATAGCATTGATGTTTTAGTTACCTTTTTAATCTATTTGGAATTAATTTTTGTCTGGTGGATTTATAATTTCATGTTTATTTTTGTTTTCTAAATGTATGGCTTGTTATCCCAATATTATTCATTATATCTTTCATTCTTTCTCCCTTGGTTTGAAATGCTACCTATTAATTTCTATTCTAGTCTATTTCTGGACTCTCTGTTTTATGCTATTGATGTCTTAGTCCATTTGGGCAAATATAACAAGTTCATTTGGTCCAATGCCAGAATTTTATAAATGAAGAAAAATAAGATCTGAAAAAGTCTAGAAGCATCTCCAGGTTCACAGTGCAGCTGGCAGTAAATGGCCCGTGGTTTCTCTCCACTTTGTGGAAGACTCCTCTTAAAACAAGAATTTTAAAGATGTTTTCATCATTTTTAGTTTTATTTCATGGAAACTATTTCAAGAGTAAATTTTCTTAGAGATACTATGGAGAAATAATCACTCTGAAAGACCCTTTTCTAATTCCAAGATTTTGTGTCAGTGTCAGTATCATGCCAGTTTAAAAAAATTTTATCCAGATGTCAGCAGTGTCATAATTATCACTCCGTGGCATAGTCCAGTGTACATTTACTTGATTTGACCAGCATGGTTGCAATAACATCTTCAGTAGAACTTTGCTTTTCAGCATTAACCATACACTGGGTGGTTATAAACAACATTATTTATTTATTTTTCACAGCTCTGGAGGCTGGAAGTCCAAGATCAAGGTGCTGGTGTATTTGGAAGGGTAGCTCCTTCCACCCCTTCTTGATTCATAGATAGCTGTCTTGCTGTATCCTTACAAGGTAGAAGAGGCAGGGGAGCTCTCCAAGGTCTCTTTTAGAAGGACACTCATCCCATTCATGAGGATAAAAATCCTCTGTGCCTGTTCATCCTTCCCTCCCTTTTAAGGACTGGCAGCCACTGATCCATTTGCTGTCTTCATAGTTTTGTTTTTTTCTAGAATGTCATATAGTTGGAATCATACAATATGTAGCCTTTTCAGGTTCTTTTACTTAGTAATAAGCATTTAAGTTTCCTGCATGTCTTTTCATGGCTTGACAGCTTATTTCTTTTTAGCATCGAGTAATATTCCATTGTCTGGTTATACCACAGTTTATTTCTCCTTTCACCTTCTGAAGGACATCTTGGTTGCTTCCAAGTTTTGGCAATTATGAATAAAGCTTCCATAAATATTCGTGTGCAGGTTTTTGTATGGACCTACATTTTCAACTCTTTTGGATAAATACCCAAGAGTGTGATTGCTGGATCATATGGTAAGAGTATGTATAATTTTGTAAGAAACTGCCAAATTGTCTTCCACAGTGGCTCTATCACTTTGCTTTCCTGGCAGCAATGAATGAGAGTTCTGTTACCACATCCTCACCAGAAGTTGGTGGTGTTGGTGTTTTCGATTTTGGCCATTCTAATAGGTGTGTAGTAGTATCTCGTCATTTTAATTTTCATTTCCCTGATGACATATGATGTTGAACATCTTTTCAAAAGCTTGTTATCTGTTCATCTTTGATGGCATGTTTGTTCAGATCTTTTGCCCATTTTTTAAAAAAAATTTATTTATTTTAGAGAGAGAGAACATGAGTGGCAGGGGTAGGGGGAAGGAGAGGGAATCTCAAGCAGACTCCATGCTAAATGTGGAGCCCAACTCAGGCCTTGATATCAGGACCTTGAGATCACAACCTGGGCTGAAACCAAGAGTCAGATGCTTAACTGACTGCGCCACCCAGGCGCCCCACATTGTTTAAAAAAGATTTATTTGTTTATGTGTGAGAGAGAGAGCGCATGAGCAGGAGGGGCAAAGGGAGAGGGAGAGAGTCTTAAGCAGACTCCACACTGAGCTCAGAGCCCAACGTGGGGCTCTATCTCATGACCCTGAGATCTTGACCTGAGTGAAAACCAAGATGCTTAACCAGCTGTGCCACCAGGGCTCCCCAGCCCTTTTGCCCATTTTTAAATGAGATTGATTGTTTTCTTATTGTTAAGAGTTCTTTGCATATTTTGGATAAGAGTTCTTTATTGTATGTGTCTTTTGCAAGTATTTCTCCAAGTCTTTGGCTTGTCTTTAATTCTGTTGACATTCTCTTTAGCAGAGCAGATATTTTTAAATTTAATGAAGTCCATCTTATTGTTTCTTTTATGAAACTTGCCTTTGGTGTTGTATCTAAAAAAGTTCTCACCATACCCAAGGTTATCTAATTTTTCTCCTGTTATTTTTTAGTTTTATATTTTATATTTAGGTCCATGATACATTTGAGTTAATTTTTGAAAGTTGTAAGGTCTGTTTTTATTGTTTGTTTATTTGTTTTTTTGCATGTGGATATCTTATGGTTACTTTCAGCACCATATGTTAGAGAGATTATCTTTGCTCCATTGTGTTGCCTTTGCTCCTTTGTCAAAGAGCAGTTGACTGTATTTATGTAGATCTGTTTCTGGACTGTCTATTCTGTTCCATTAATCTCTTTGTTCTTTTACCAGTACTACATTGTTTTAATTATTGTAGCTTTATAGTAAATCTTGAAGCCAGGTAGTGTTAGTCTAAATTTTTTTTCTCCTTCAATATTGAGTTGGCTATTCTGGGTCTTTTGTCTCTCCATGTAAACTTCGAATCCATGTTTTCATATCCACAAAATAATTTGTGGAATTTTAATTGATATTGAATTAAATCTATACATCAAGTTGGGAAGAATTGATACCTTGACGATATTGAGTCTTCCTATCCAAAACATGGAATATCTCT